CGCGCGCGTGGGCGCGCGCGCGCGTCGTCGACGACGCGTCGACGTGTGGGCGTCGCTTTTCGGGTGTGCGTGGAGGGAGGGACTCGGTGTACGGTCGTGACTCGTGACATCGATCGATCGATCGCTCGGGACCCCCCTTGGGGCGTGGTGTGGGTCACGTCACGAGTCATCACTCGTCGTTCGTCGTTGGATATCCATCCGTCCACGAGCGACGCGGCATTGGTCGACGACGACCGCGATGCGAGCGTCGACGCGATCGACGACGGCGACGACGACGACGCGCGCGGTCTCGCGCGCGCGCGGGCGCGGTCTCGCGCGCGTCGCGACGGCGATGCGCGCGATTCCGATTCACATCGAGTACTGTGAAAAGTGAAACTACATGCCTCGGGTGAAGATGCTCGTCGATAAGACGGAGGCAGCCTTACCGGGGAAGTTTGAATTCACGTGGAACGTCGAGAGCGTGCTCAAGGAGACGGTGCCGGCGGGACAGGGGTGGTACGCGGAGAACCAGGCGGAGAAGCCGATCCCGGGGGGGGAGGCCGCGCTCTGGCGCAAGGGCGCGTTCGAGGTGTTGCGATTGGACACGAAGGAATTGTTGTACTCCAAGAAGGCGGAGGGGTCGCATTTGGTGGATGGTAAGGGCGGACCGGAGGGTAAGCTCGGAAAGTTCATCGATGAGGTGCTGGCCAAGGCGTAGACGCGCGCCGAGGGGGATCGAGGCTCGACTCGCCTTCGTCGCGCGCGGGCGGATTATTCGGTCGACGATCAGTGACGGACGACGTTTGAAAGCTTCATTCGGGCGCACGTGCTCGAACAGACGTCGATCCTGATTCTCGTCGACTTCGCCGAAGACGCGGGAGAGGTGGGAAGAGCGAAAATTATGTTATAATCACATACTAACAACGTCGCAGCTATGCGCTCGGACGCGCGTGCGCGCCCGACGCGAGGGCGTTTCGCGCGAGCCCGATGTCAGCCCTGATGCGCGTAACGAGTTCGGGTAGGGATTCGAACCGCATCTCCGGTCGAATGAATCCGCGAACCTCGACGCGCATGGTTTCGCCGTAAAAGTCTCGCTCGTACAGCTTTGCCGCGTCGCTCGCTCCCATGACGTGCACCTCGATCGTGGCTCCATCACCGTCGACGAACGTCGGTCTCTTCCCCACATTGAGCACGCACTCGTGCCACGACGACTCCATCGCGAGCTTGGCCCAACCGAAGTACACGCCGAGCGGTAGACTACTCAGGAACGCCTCGCCGCCGCACAGTTCGGGATCGAGGTTCGCCGTGGGCACACCCATCTGTTTGCTCCCGCGTCCGAAACCCGTCACGACGGGCGCCTCGAGAACGAACGGTTTAGCGATTTCGAACGCGCTCGGGACGACGAAGACCAATGGGTTCTCGTCGTCATCCGCGCGCATCGGCGCGCTCGCCTCTCCCAACTCCTTGGCGCCGCCGACGCGCGCGAGCGGCAGCCCGCGCACGATGCTCGCGAAATCCATCCCCCCGTCGCCCGTACCCTCACCCACCCCACGCTCCCGCTCGGATATCACCACCCTCGCCCCTGGCTTGCACAGGAGCACCGCGCGCGTCACGGCGTCTCTCGCCTCGTCCTCGCCGCCTCGGTCCGCCAGGTGCGCGTTGAACGCGACGCCATCGAACGGTCCGTGATACGGTTTCAACGCTCTCATGTCATCGCATCGAAGAAACCGCACGCCTCGCGCGTTTCCTAAAACGTCTTCGCCCGCATCGAGCGCCAACGTCTTCCCCAGCGTCTCCGCGCACCGCGCGAGCTGCGCCGCGGATGCGTCGACGCACAGCGCCGTGCACGCCGCGTCTTCGCTCGCGATTCGCAGCGCCAACGCCCCCGTCTCCGCGCCCACGATCAAGCACCGGGCGTAGCCGTCTCGTCGCAGGTCGAGCGCGCGGGCGATCGCGTCCGCGCGCGCGCGTTCGTTCGGTAAAGCGCACTCGGTGCACTGTGCGACTAAATCGTCCCTGTCCGAGCTCAAAGACCGCGACGAGACACCGCGCGTGCGTTCGGATCGGCGGTGACGATACCGTGGACGCGTTGAACACGCGTCGGGGACGGCGGCGGACGCGACGCGGCGCATGGCGGGACGACGCGAAGTGCGGCGCGCGAGAGGAGGAAAGGCGCGACGCGCGACGCGTCCAATCACAATCGACGTCGTCACGGTTCCCACGCTCGCGCATCGATGGTTCTCGCGCGCTGAATCATCGTTTTCGAGCTTTTTTGATGGCGTGCTTCATCTCCGACGTCGCGCGCTCGACGTGGTACGCGCCGTCTTCGGACAGCGTGATGACGTTCCCACTTCCTCGGAGCGTTCCGTCGGCTCTGGCGAGCGACGCCGCGGCGGCTTGCCAGCGGTTCGCGTTGGCAATCTTGAACTCGGAGGCTCTCGCGTCGTTCTCGTCGTTCTCGCCCTCCGCCGCCTTGGCCTCGATTCTCGTGACGTCGGCGAAAACGCTCAAATCGCTCAAATCCGTTTTGGCGTCGCAGTGGAATCCCTCCGCGTTCGCCGCGGCCTCGCGCGCGACGTCCTCCTGCGCTCTCACCATCTCTTCTTCCTCCGGGTCACCGAGCTCAGAGATCAAAAACTCCAACGATTCCACGCACTCACCCGCTAAACGCTCGTATCCTTCCAGGAAGAGCACTCTGGCGAACAAACGCATCTTTGTCACCGCGTGCTTCCCTCTCGCGCTCTCTATCGCCTTCATCCTTCGTCGCAACTTATCCTCGTCTCGCATCGTTCGAACTCGCATCAACGTGTGCTGATACGACGCCGTACCGACGAGCGCGGCGCGTCCTTGCCGTCCCGCGTTTCTCGCCGCGTGCGCCTCCGCCGCGGCGCGATGTAATTCCGCGTTGCTCTCGTCCGCGTCCGCGTCCTCCTCGGCCACGTCCACGCGCTCCTCCGTAACGTCAACCTTTACGACGTTTCTCGCGCGCGTCGATCGCCGCACGCGCGTGGACGCGTCCGCGATTCGTTTCGTGTCCTCGTTCGCTCCAACTGTTTTCAAACTCTTCATCTTTTTCGTCCCATCGCGCCCGCTCCCGCTCGCCTCGGCGTGCATGCACGCGTCGTGCTTCGTGAGACCTAGCGCGAGCATGATCTCCCGGTTCCGCGCGATGTTTCGCTCGCGCGCGCGCTCGTACGGGACGAGCTCATCCATGACGCCTCCTTCGCGCGCGCGTCGCGGTGTGCGGCGCGTCGCGCGTTCGTCTCCGATGCGCGCCCAATCTCGCGATTGAACTTTGCGCGCGTGAGATGTGACATTACAGCTCGTTCACGTACGCCCTAAACTTTTCTAACGCGCGAAACCTGTGCGAGATGGCGTTCTTCGTCGCCTTGTCCATCTCCGCGTACGTCTCGTCGTATCCATCCGGTTCGAACACGGGATCCCACCCGAAATCCCTCGGTCCGCGCGCGGGAACGATCCTCCCGTGCGTTCGCCCGACAAAAACCTTCGGTTCCGCGTCATCGGGCCCCGTGGCGTAGGCGAACACGCACTGCGCGTACGCCGACTTATCTTCGTACGCGTGTAGCGCGTTATTCAAACCCTCGTGTCCCGTCTTCTCCAGATACCACTTCACGTACACCCCGGGCAACCCCCCGAGGGCGTTAAAGCACAGCGACGTGTCCTCGACCAGCGCCGGTCCGCCCAGCGCTCTCGCCGCGTCGCGCGCCTTGGCCCGGGCGACGTCCTCCGGCTCCCCCTGCGTCTCAACCAGGTCCAAACTCGCGCTCGTCACCTCGATCGTCGACCCGGCGCCTAAGATCGCTCGCACTTCCTCCAACTTTTTCGCGTTCCCGGTGACGAACGTCACGCGCATCGCCGTCGCCGCGGTGGCGATCGATCGAGATCGTAATCGTAATCGCTTCCCACCGATCGATCCCGGCGCGCGTTCTCGCTCTCTCGCGCGCGCGTCCACGGCGCGCGTCTCGACCCGCGCGCGTCCGCGTTCGCGTCCGCTTCGCGCGCGTCCGCGGCCGTCAATGCCGCGCGCGCGCGCGCACGGCGTCGACATCGATCGCCCCGCACATCGCGTCACGATGCACGGCATCGCCCCCGCCCGCGTCGTCGCGACGTCGCGCGCGCGCGCGCGCGCGTCCGAGACGGGGCACCGAACGCGCGCGCGCGCGACGCGGCGCGCGAGCGCGGATGACCTCGACGACGTGGCGCGATTGCAAGCGCGCGCGTTTTACGTCAACGTCCTCGGAGCGAATCGCCCGTGGACCATCGTGGACGACGTCCTGCGCGTCGCGTTCGAGGTGGACGTGCGACGGACGTTAACGCGGAAGCACGCGATGGCGTCGCGAGGGCGGTTCGCGGCGTTGGTGATGGATGACGCGACGGGGGCGCTCGCGGGGGCGTGCGAGGTGTCGATCATGCGAGACGCGGACGTGCTCGAGGCGATTGGACGACGACGTGGGTTCGAGCGCGCGGTCGCCAGGGGGGAGTACGCGTACGTGTCGTGCGCGGCGGTGCGAGCGGAGGCGCGCGGGCGAGGGATCGGGACGGCGCTCGTGCGGGCGAGCGAAGCGACGGCGCGCGCGTGGGGGTTTCGATGCGTCGCCCTGCACGTGTACGAATCCAACGTCGGGGCGCGGCGGGTGTACGAACGCGCGGGGTACGAGGTGTGCGATCGCCCGCGGCGGACGTGGAGCGAGACGCTGCGGAATGGGCAGAAATTATTAATGGTTCGCGCGGTGTGACGGCGCGACGCGTCGTCGGCGCTCGGCGACGGACGTCTCCGGGGCGGTGTATTCTTTCATTCGTAGCGCTCGAGCGCGCCTCCACGGTCGCTCGAGCACGTGTAACGCGCGCGTATTCTCCCGCGCGCGCTTTGCGCCGACCGACGCCGCGACGCCGCACTCGCCGGCGCGCGATGGGCGTTGGACGCGCGCGCGAGGCGTTGATGTACCTCCTGACGTGCGCACGCGGTCCCGATTTCGCGCGCGAGCGCGAGGCGAAGAGGCGCGAGCGCGAGGCGGCGAAGCGCGCGAGAGAGGCGGCGAAGCGCGGGGGAGAGGCGAATGCAGACGATGGATTAGCCCGTCGACGCTCGGACTCTCTCGCGTCGTCGTCTCGCTCGTCGCGCGGTGGATCGCGGCGTTCGTCCCATTCGCGGTCTTCTTCGTACTCGTCGTACACGGGGTCGTCGTACGCGGGGTCGTCGTACACGGGGTCGTCGTACGCGGGGTCGTCGTACGCGGGGTCGTCGGCGTCCGACGTCGGCGGCGCGGGCGCGACGACGGCGCCGTCGATCGATACGGAGCGAACGCTGAGCGAGGGATCGGTGGAGGAGGAAGAGACGCCGGGAATCGTCGGACGGGGGGCGGTGCTGGACGTGACGATGGGAGACGTGACGTCGACGGCGGTGGAGTGCGGACGAGGCGCGAGCTCGATTATGCTGGACGGGTTCGTGGAGGACATAGACGTCGTGAAAGGGCGCGACGTGTTCGGTGGGGGAGAGCGCGAACGGGAAATATTTAAGCGCGCGCTCGTAAAACAGGTGGTCTACGCCGAGGGTGATTTCGTGCTGAGAGAGGGGGAGACGTGGACGGAGGAGGAACGCGCGGGTGGATACTTTGTATACTTTGTCATTCGGGGCGCGTGCGCGGCGACGAGGTTGGTGCACCCGCGGTATCCTCGAGCGCACACACCGGAGGCGATGGCTTTCATCGACGACCCGATGTCCATTCTGCGTCCGATCACGACGCAGGTGACGCACTTGAATAACGACTCCGCGAGCGCCTCAAAGTCGGTGAGACAACGCGCTTCGGACATGAAGCGGGCGGACGAGCTCGCCGAGGTCGGCGTGGCCAATTTTGTTCGTGGTAGTTATTTCGGTGAATACGAAGTTCTTCGCGGGAGAACACCGCGACGGTGCTCGGTACGCGCGCTGGTGAATAATACCGCGCTCGGAGTTATGCCGGCGGAAATATTTGAGAAAATCTGCCGTCCCGGGACAAAATTTCGAGAGCGAGTCGAGGCAGAGATTTCGATGTTCATCTAGAGATGTGGGTTGTATTCAAGAATGTTTTTATAGGATTCTTCGTATCTCGTCTACAGGAAAACGTCCTTCTCGAGCGCCTTGACGACGTCTTCTTGGTCGTTGAGCTTGGCGACGTCGAGCGGCGACTTGCCGTCGTTGTTCACCATCGTCACAGAGCCGCCAGCTTCAACGAGAAGTTCGACGAGATCGCTGCGACCGTAACCAGCGGCGTAGTGCAAAGGGGTGTTCTTATTCTTATCCGAAGCGTTCACGTCAGCACCTTCCTTGACGAGGAGTTCGGCGCACTTGAGCTCGCCGTAACCGCACGCAAAGTGAAGGCCGGTGCGGCCCTCCGAATCGGTCATGTTGACATCCTGTCCTGCCTTGATGAACGCCATCATCGCCTCGTGATCGCCTTCGGACGCGGCCGTGATGACAGACTCTTCTTCGTCCTCCTCTTCCGCCGCTTCTTCCTCTTCCACCACCTCGCTTTCGTCGTCGTCGGCGACGGCGCCAAAGGTGGGCATGATGTCACCCATGGCGCCGTTGATCTTCTTGAGCACCTTGGGGTCGTTCCAGTACTTCATCATCGCCTGCGGACCACCAGTTTCGATTTCGCTCATAATATCAGCCATCTCCGGATCGTTCTTGAGCTCTTCCATCTTCGCCTTCATCTTCTCCGCCGTCTCCGGGTCGTTCATGGTTTGCATCATGGACTGCATCTCGGGGTTCTGCATCATTTGCTCTCCGAGCTTTTGCGCCATCTTCATGAACGCTGGGTTTTGCATCACGTTTTGCATCGCCTCCATCGCAGCCTGTTGATCCGCACCGCCCGGCATCCCAGCCATGCCCGGCATCATGCCGCCCATCATGTTCGGCGCCACGCCTCCGATGCCCGGCGGCAGCGCCCCCATCTGCGCCTGCATGTTCGCCATGTTCGCCTGCATCTGCTCAGCCATCACCTTAAAGTTCGGATCACTACTGATCTGTTCCGCCATCTCTTTGATCGAGGGATCATCCAGCATCTCTCGCAGCTTATCCATGTCGAACGGGCTTCCCGCGCCCATTCCGGGCAACCCGGCGCCCGGCGGCATGCCAAATCCAGGCGGTAAGTTTCCTACGCGCGTCGTGAACGCGTCCATGAACCCGTCAGTCGCTCGATCGCGATCGCGTCAACGTCCATCGCGCGTCGACGCGCCCACGTTCGCGTCGCGCGCGCGCGAAAACTCGAATACGATGTCTTCCGCGTCGCCGCCGCGCCCTCGAGATCGCGCCCTTCGCCGCGCGCGCGTCGCCGCGCGCACGCGCGCGCGCGGACGGATTCGATCGATCGCGCGCGCGTTCGACGCGCGCGCGTTCGAGCTCGCGCGCGCGTCGAGCGATGCGCCGACGCACCAGCCATGGTCGCGAGCGTGGAGAAGTGGGGAGGATGTGGATAAAAAACCTGAGCGCGGCGCGGCGGGCCGAGGCGCGGTCGCGGCGAAGGGGCGAACAGGTCGGCGCGCGACGGGTGATGTCGAGGTTCGAATGGTACATTGATTGTATTCGTTGTCACACGGTTGGATGTACACCGCGGCGCGCGCGGGAAAAGTGATGGACGCGATCGTCGAGGAGAGCGCCCGAGTGCGCGACTCAGCGCGCCGCCTCGCTCGAACCGTCGTCCCAGTTGAACTTTTCAAACTTCCACGTCGCGCGAAGTTGCCCGCGCGGCGTCTCCTCGACGGATTCGAACTCATCCTCGTCCGGTAGACCGTGAACGATGGCGTCGACGCGATGGAGGGCGAATCGAGAGCGCAGCCCGGGGTAGGAGACGGATATCTCCTCGGCGACGCACAATCTGTAGGTGTCGTCGACGATGTCCACGCTCCAGTCATCCTTCAACGCACTTCCGAGCTCTTCTCGCACCGCGCGCTCGACGCACTCGCGCCATTCCTCCCCCGCCGATAACTTCTCACTGAGCGGTCGATTCCTCCGTCGCTTGAGCTCACTCTTCCCGAACGTTTGTTCCTTTTCGATAAGGCAGACGTCGGCGCTCGATCCCGGTCGCCGCACTCGAAGCGTGAGCACGGACACGAAACGCACGCACGTCGCGCCCCCATCCGCTCCCACCCCCC